AGCTGGTCACCCAAGAGAGCAAACTGTGATCAGAAGCTTGGAATTTTCAGCCCTGCCCCCCACTCTCTTGAGAAGGGAGAAGGCTGGAAAATGGAGTTAGAGAATGATCATGCCTATGGAATGAAGCCTCCATAAAATTGCAAAAGTTACAAGGTTTGGGGGGCTTCCAGGCTGGTGAGCCTGTGAAGATGCTGGGAAAGTGCTCACAGTGGAGATTTCCACGCCCCTTCCCGCGTACCTTGCCCTATGCCTCACTTCTGTGTGGACGCTCATCTGTATGCTTTGTCATAGCCTTCTATAGTGAACTGGTAAATGTAAGCAAACTGTTTCCCTGCGTTCTGTGAGCCATGCTAGCAAATTAATCCAACCCGGAAAGGGGGTCAAGGGAACCTCTGGTTTTTAACCAGTGGGTCAGAAGCACAGGTGACAGCCTGCACTTGTGATCGGCATCTGAAGTAGGGAAAGGAGTGTGCTTGTGGGCCTGAGCCCTTCGCCTGTGGGATCTGACGCCTTCTCCAGGTAGATCATGTCAGAGTTGAGTTCAACTGTAGGACACCCAGCCCATGTCACAGAGAATTGCTGGGTGTGGGAAAACTCCCCCAGATTTGGGGACCAGAAGTGTTGTGAGTGTGACAGTGAAGGTAAAGGAGGCACACAGGAGAAAGACACAGTGGGAAGAACTGGGTTTTTCCAACTATGGGAGAAAAACTGGGTGTTTTTTTCCCCCTAATACACATTCCCTCCCTCTTTTTCCTTTTTTTTTAAAAGATTAATTTGTTTATTTTTTTTAAAAAGATTTATTTATTTATTTGAGAGAGAGATATATATGTATAGAGAGAGCACCACTGGAGGGAGAGGGAAAAGCAGTCTCCCCGCTGAGCAGGGAGCCTGACTCGGGGCTCGGTCCCAGGACCCCAAGATCATGACCTGAGCTGAAGGCAGATGCTTAACCGACTGTGCCACCGAGGTGTCCCTATTTGTTTATTTTAGAGAGAGAGAGAGAGCATGAGCAGGAGGGGCAGAGGGAGAGGGAGAGAGAATCTGAAGCTGACTCAGTGCTGAGCGCAAGCCCAAGGCAGGGCTTGATCTCAGGACCCTGAGATCAAGACCTGAGCCAAAACCAAGAGTCGGAGGTTTAACTGACTGCACCACCGAGGCGCCCCCCGGCCCCCCCACCTTTTTCCTTTTTAAGAGAATCCTGATTTTGTTCAGGCATCTGCCTTTCTTTAGTAGCCAGATGATGCGAGGGAAACCTCAGGAGTGGGGTCTGCATATATTTTGCTCAATATGATGGTTCCATGCCCCCTTCCAGTGATGGTTGTAGGCATATGTGTATGAAACAAGTCAGGCAAATAAAATGTGAGGGCAAGTTGGCTTGCAAGTGTTGGGTTAAATTCTCTTTGTTTAAAAAAAAAGAGACCCAAGAAGAGATGGCCTTTTGTTATTGCCTCTGAATGTGGCTATGATGTCTGGAATTGCAGCAGCCATCTTGGGGCCATGAGGTGGACAAGTCTGAATGGATCCTTTACGGTATGCTCTCTTGTCATTTAAATAATCAACTTCTTGGGGCGCTTGGGTGGCTCAATTGGTTAAGCGACTGCCTTCGGCTCAGGTCATGGTCCCAGGGTCCTGGGATCGAGCCCCGCATTGGGCTGCCTGCTTGGTGGGAAGCCTGCTTCTCCTTCTCCCACTCCCCCTGCTTGTGTTCCCTCTCTCTCTGTCTCTCTCTCCCTCTCTGTCAATTAAATAAATAAAATCTTTAAAAAAATTTTTTTTTCCAAAAAAAAAATAAATAAATAATCAATTTCTTCTTTGTTTCAACCATTTTGAGTTGGGTGTCCGGTTGCGTACATCCCTAGCCTCTGTGTTGCCTCTGATTCATATAAAATATATAAAAATATATTTTATATGAATATAAAATTTATATTCATATAAAATATATTCATATAAAATATAAAAAAGCGGGAGGCAGCCCTGCTTGCTGATTAAAACACTCTGAGTCACAGTTCACTTTTTCAGTTGGTCTCCTGTCCTCGTGGTAGGATTCCTCTCAGAGAGATTGCTTTTCCAGCTCTGGCTGAGTGGGCTGCATACCACGAGAGCTGCAGGAGCAGTGGATGCCTGTTCACGACCTGAACAACTGTCCCAGCTTCCTGACTTAGGTGTGAACTTCCCTGACTGTAGCAGAGAGGGTCAGAGGCAGAGGACTGACCCCAACTAGACCCCATCAGGGTCTGTCTGCTAGCTCAAGTTTTAGAACTGGGACACAAGGAGTTCTTGGTACTTGACATTTCAAGGGCATATTTGGCTACTGTGTGTGAGGTGGAAGAAGGGGGTCTATGAGGAGACAGAAAAATAAAGTGGAAACCCAGGAGGGAAACCACACATTCAGAGAGAGAAAGAGAGAGACAGAGACAGAGACAGAGAGAAATTCTGCAAAAGGGAGACAACCTTGATTTCACACAGCTTTTCAATTCTATTTCTTGTCCCTAGTGAGGCCCAGAGACCTAGCTCTTGCTTGGATTCTAAACCTCCAATAATGTCGTTTTGCTTAAGTCAGCTTAAACGGATTTTATTTCTTGCAACCGAAATCCCTGAACAAAAACTTGGGAGCCATTAATGATGAGGTCCTGATCACAAGCTCTGGTGTAGAACATTATGAGAAATGTATCCTGAGCCTCAAGATCTGCTGTAAGACATCATGGGACATGTATTTCAAACCTCTGATCCTCACTGGAGGGCATGCTGGGAGATGTGATCCTAGCCCCCCAGTCTCTGCCACAGGGCCTCATGGGAGATGCAGTCCTAGCCTCCATTCCTGCTGCAAGGCATCATGGGAAATGTATTCCTAGCCTCCGGGCTCTGCTGGAGGGCATCCCGGTGGATGTAATCCTAGCCTCCAACTCCTGTGGTAGGCAATCATGGGAAAGGGGAAACTACCCTCAATTTTAATTGTAGAGCAGCTCAGAAAATGTTATCTTAGCCTCATCTCTGCTGTAGGGCAACATGAGAGATAGAACTCTTGCCGGTTTTTGTTGTACGAGACTAAAGATGTGATCTTTCCTTCCTCCTGTCCTTCCTTCCCTCTTTTCTTTCTTAATTACCTGCCATGTTCCAGGCATTATTCATCTCGGTACTGCGAATACAGTAGTAGTGAGCAAATAAAGGTCTTGCCCTTTATGGAGATTATAGTGGGGAGGGTTATTAGCAAACTACCAAACAAGTGACTATTCCCATTAACCATTGCAGCATAACAAAATGCCCCAAAACTCAGTGGTGTGAAACCATAACCTTTTTGTTTTACGATTCTGTGGGTCAGGAATTTGAGCAAAGCACAGCAGGACCAGTGCATATCTGCTCCACAATGAACCGGGGCCCAAATGGGCTGGCTGGAACAGCTGGAGGTGGGTGCGATGGTTCATATGGGGCCACTTAATCTGAAACCTTGGCTCTGGCTGCTGGCTGGGGTTGTGGATTGAACTGTGTCTCCCCCCCGCCCCCCGCCCTATACATTGAAGTTCTAACCCCTAGAACCTATGAATGTGACCTTATTTGGAAATAGGGTCTTTGCAGATAGGATTAAGATGAGGTCACACTGGACCAGGATGGGTCCCTAAATCCAATGAGTGGTGTCCTGGTAAGGAGAGGGAGAGATTTGGAGCCGCACAGACACATTCACTGAGAAGGCCACGTGAGGACAGAAGCAGAGATTGGAGTAGCGTGGCTGCAAGCCCAGAAACACCAAGGATTGTCAGCAACCCCCAGGAGCCAGGATGAGCCAGGAACGATCCTTCCCCAACGACTTTAGAAAGAGCGTGGCACTGCCAACACCTTGATTTCAGACTCCTAGCATCCAGAACTCTGAGAGCATACATTTCTGTTGCTGGAAGCCACCCAGTTTGAAAGTTGGTTACTACGGCAGTCCTGGGAAACAAAAACAGCTGGGCTTCCCGACTCTCCTGCATGCTACATCTGCTGGGGTTGCGACGTCTAGGGCCGCTCCTTCGCCCACTTGTCTGGTGTCTGGGCTGAGATGGCTGAGACATCTGGGGCTCTCTCCCCACATGGCGTCCATGCATGACATAGCGTGGGCGTCCCCAGAGCACGGAAGCCTCAGCGCAGGAGGATTTTGACATGGCAGCTGGCTTCCCCAGAGCCAGTTTCTTGAAGCCCAGAACGTGGCATGGTCAAAGCAGTCCCAGAGCCACGCACGTTCAAAGAGGTGGAGATACTGAGGCCACCTCTTTAAGCCACCACAGTGACGCTCAGTGCTATGTGATTTGAGGAGGTCCTAAAAAGAAACCCGTCCCTTCCTTGCCCTCAAATACCATGGAAGATGTCTTATCCTTTTCTTCATTAGCCATAGGGTCCTGGGGAACATAATTTTGTCTCTTTGGGCTTGCCTCAGCAAATCATAGGAAACGTGAATTCTTCAATATTGTGCCCCAAGGGTGCCAATTGAAACGAGAGTTCTTTTTCTCAGTCAGTCTGAAGGCATCCTAGGAAAAAGAGCCCAGCTTTTATCTCTTGCCACCAGGGCATCTGGGGAAATGTAGTCCTGATTCCTCACTGCAGGGCCCCCAGGGAGTTCTGGCCATCAGATTATCCCTCCCATTCATCTCAGGTCTCAGAGCCCCCTAGGAAATGCAGATGCCTCTCCTTAGAACAACAAAACAGTCTTGACCTTTGGAGCTTAGGAGAAGAGACTGGAAGGTTAGTGCTTGAGTGAGTGAGTTGGAGCCCAGAAATAGATGTGGAGGTGGCTTAGGATGGAAGCCCATGGAGAACTGCTCCCAAGGCTGAGGCCCCAGATGCCTGGGTCCTTCAATGTGACCCCTAATTCCAGGAGGTGGGCAAAAGGTGCCCCCCCCATTCATCCTCCCAAAGAGAGATGCTATGGAGAAGGGAAGATCAGGCCTTGTTCTCTGGTACAAAAATCTTTAAGTATAAAATATTAAATAAAACAAATATTAATAATAACAACAATGGTACAACAATGCTAACATAAGACCTCTCCTGCTGGCCTGCAGGCTTCTCCAGCTTTTCTCCCCTGGTTCTGCAACTCCATGAGACAGCTGGGAAAACTGAGACCCAGAGAGGGCAGCACACTGGCCTGAGGTCACACAGCAAGTCTGCAGGGCTGGGAGCTGAGGGGAGGGCAAAGGGCTCCTCTGGATCCGGCCAGGGAAGGGGGAGTGTGGGGTGTCAGGTCCAGAGGAGAGTGCCTCCCCACAGTCTGGCAGTTATAAGCAGGGTGGCCATGAGGCTGAGGTGGGCAGGACCGGGCCGGGGGGCGCCGCCCATGCGGGGCTGGTGACCCAGGACTGGGTGGTTACAGCCGTTTCCAGTACAGCATGAGACATTGAGAAGGGTCAGGCTGAAGGCTTCAGCCACGTGGAGACTCTGGCACCATGAGGAAGTTGCACAACCTCGTACTGTGTAGCTCTGGTTGCCCAGCTCTGAGGAGAGAGAAGACAGCGTGAGACCCCCAGCTCCTGGGGCTGGGCCTGCAGTGCTCACCGGGTGACCTGCCACCTTGTGGTGGATCTCACCTGAAGAAAGCAGCAGTTTCAAGTGTGGTCCCTCAGACCCTTCCGGGGGAACCGAGAAGTCAAAACTATTCTCATAATAATGCTAAAGCATCATTTGACTTTTCCACCCTTGTGAGTGTACAGTGGGGGTTTTCCAGAAACCCTGGGACATGTGATCTTGCAGCCGACTGAACGCAGAAGCCAATATGAGGATGAGGATCCAGCCGTCTTCTATTAAGCCAGATATGAAAGAGATTTGCGAAATGGTAGAACGCCGGTCTTCTTGTTAAATGTTTTCATTGTGGAAAATGTCATTTTTTTAAAGTAAAAAATGTTATGTTCACATGGAATGAGGTTTTATTTTATATTTTTCTTTTAAAGTAATTTATTTTAAAATAAATTAATAGGGGCACCAGGGTGGCTCAGTCGGTTAAGCGTCCAACTCTTGGTTATGACCTCAGGGTCATGAGATCAAGCCCCGATTTGGGCTCCATGCTGGGCATGAAGCCTGCTTAAGATTCTCTCTCTCCCTTTCCCTCTGCCCTCTCCCCATCCCCCACTTGCGGGCGCTCTCTAAAAAAATAAGTAATAAATAAATTAATAATTTACATCTCTTAAAATATCTCAGTTTTAACTCCTAATGCAGTAAACATCTATAGATATACCTGCCATAAATAATAATTTTTAAGAGCAGGAAGGAATTTTGAGATGAAAAGGTTTGAGAACCCCTGGAACAGAGACCCACCCAGGATGGCACAGGATGGAAGTCCGCCACATCCGCAGGAAGTCCCACCCCCTCGTGAGAAGTCCCACCCCCAGAGAGGTCCACATTTCTGTGGCGGGAACACTCATTTCTTAATGAAGTCCTGTGCTCGCTTCGGCAGCACATATATTGATGAAGTCCTCATTCCTGATGACACTTTGCACCCTCCTGAAGGAAGTCCTACCTTTTCCACAGGAAGACCCAGCTCCGTGAAGTCGACCTGTGGCCGACAAGCCCCCACCCACAAGTATCCTCTCCCAGCCTCCTGGAAGGGCTCACCATTAGTGCCCGTGGCTTCCAGGCATTGATTCATGGGGCCTTGGCAGGCGGTCAGGGAAATCTCTTCGGAGGAACATCCATGGGTGCTGTTACCCTCACAGCTGTAACATTGGTGGCCATTCAGAGGCAGGTTTTGAAGCTCCAGGACTTGGGAGAAGACAAGTGACACAGAAACCAAGGAAATTAGTATGGGGGTGCGGGCAGGTGGGGTGGAGGGGTGTCCTTCCTTGCATTACCTCCCCTAGGACTGTCAACTCGCAGCCTGAGATGTCATGGAGCCACCTAGTGGTCAGGCATTGGAACAGCACTGTCTTTGGAGGGGAGGGCTTTTTTTTTTTTTTTGAAGATTTTATTTATTTATTTGAGAGAGAGAGCGGGAGAGAGAGCACGAGCATGAGCGGGGGGAGGGGCAGAGGGAGGGGAAGCAGACTCCCCGCTCAGCTGGGGGCCAGATATGAGACTAAATCCCAGGACCTTGAGATCATGACCTGAGCCAAAGGCAGACGCTTAACTGACTGAGCCACCCAGGCGCCCCTTCTCAGGGGGTTCTTTATAGAACTTGCGAGAGAAATCCCACCTCGCCGCTCCTCCTGAGCCCCTATCTGACCAGGCACTGGGCGAGCAGCTGTGGAAGACGAAACAGTCCCTGCCCTGCAGCACTTATCACTTAGACCTACACTGTCCAATATGGTAGCCACTAGTGAACTGTTGGTTTCCATTTACGCTGAAATGAATTCCTATTAACTAAAATTCAAAGTTCAGTTTCACATTTCAAGTGCTCAACAGCCATTCGAGTTAGTGGCTACCATGTTGGACAGTACAGATATGGAACATTTCTATCACCGTGGAAAGTTCTATTGGACAGTACTGGTTTATGGAGACAGAATAACACCAAGGAGCGAGATTATAGTGGAGGGGATGGGACAGGGAATGTTTCCCTGAGGACGATACTTTAAAGCTGAGACCTAACCAATGAGAAGTAGCCAGCCAGGTAAACTCTTGGGGGAGATGTGTTCCCGGTGGAGGGTACTGAATGCGCGAAGGCAGGACAGAGTTTGGCAGTTGCAGGAACTCAAGGTAGACCATGAGGCAGACAGGTGCCGGATTACATAGGGCATAGGATGGTCTTTAGATTTTACTCTGTGAGCAAAGAAGAGTTGCTGCAGTGCCTGAGGAAGGAGAGTGACATGCTCTAGTTTACATTTTTAAGGAATCACCCTTGCTGCTGTGTTGAGCATTGGTTGTAGGAGGCAGAAGCGGAAGCAGGGGGACCAGTGAGAAGGTTATGGCAACAATCTAGGCAAGAGCTCCCAGTGGCATGGACCAGGGCGGTGAGCTGCGGAAGGATTCAAGGAAGTATAAAGCAGGGGTCTTTGGTAAAGCTTTGATGGGCACGTTGAATTTCCACACAAGCCTTCTTTGAGGAGGGGCTTTCAGGGGAGATGGCCACCTAGAGAGGAGGGGTGGCCTGCGAGTGAGGGGCAGCAGCCTGGGTACACCTCCTGCCCCGAACCCCGGCCTCATGCTGCGTGGGTCCCCTGCCCCTCACCTGGGCCTCCATTGCATTTGGTGGTGTTGCAGCACTGCAGGAAGTGGAAGGTGTGGTTGTTGTGGAAACCGGTGGGGCCTGGGCAGCCGGGAAGGTTGCCACAGCCGCGGGTATGGTTCTCATCCCTTAGACTGCCTGTCGGGAGCAGAAGAGAGAGGTCAGCTTGTTCGGGGGCTGAGACTGGCTTTGCCCACCACCGCAGCAGTCATCTGTCCATTTCCTGCCTCCCTGTTCATTATAGGACCCTCATTTTATTTGGGGCAGCCATATATCTAGGCAAAACCACATTTTCCAGCTTCCATAGGTATAATCATGTGGCTAAGTTCGGTCAATGTGATATAAATAGAAGGGTTTTATGGGACTTCCAGAAAGGAGAACCCCCACAAAAGGAGGGGTGCCTATTTTTTGTTCCTTTTCTTCTTTCTCTTTCCTGGAACTTGGACATGAGGTTTGGAGCTCTGGCAGCTATGTTGGACTATGAGGCAATTGTGAGAATGGAAACAATATTCAAGAAATGAGAAAGCATCTGGGTTCCTGGTGATGGTAGAACTGTCCTAGTGGCTCAGGACTTCCTATCACTAGACTTTTTGTGTGTGAGAGAACTAACTTTCTACTTTGCTTAAATCCTTGTTATTCTGGGGTCCTTGTTAAGGGCAGCCTTGGGGAGGAGCAATGCAGGGGGGAGATGCTGCTGGCAGGTTGGAGCTCACCTTCCAGGCTCCGGTGGGTCACCACTTCCACGCACTGTTCTGTAGGGCTGCGGCATTGCAGGCTCTGGTCCCAGCCCCTCTCACAGCTCAGATCTGATGAGGCGCAGGAAACACATTCAAGGTAACGGCTTTGGATTCGGGGAAAAGTGGAAGTCCGACCTGTTCGGGGAGGGGCAGGAGAGTGAGACTCCATGGGGAGAGTTCCGGAAATCTAGCTCCTTTGAAGACTCACCTTAGCATCAATTTCTCCTTTAGCCAATCACCAAAGCCCTGCCTATCCCACCTCCTGAATCTTTCTAGCATCCATCCCCTCCTTTCCAGCCCCATGACCAAGTCAGAACTTCCTCAAACACCTGGCCTCCTGGTTTCCATCCTTGCCCCCCAACCCCACACAGTGCAGCCCCACATGGCCCTAGAAGGATGTTTCTAATACTCAAATCTGACCCTGCCTGCTCTGCTCAAAACCTCTCCATGGCTCCCCAGTGCCCTCAGAATAATATCCAAGCTACTCCATGTGGACCTCTGGGTCCCAGCCACCTCTCCTGTCTCATCTCCCTCCACTAGCCCCTCAGACTCTACTCCCCATGACTTCCCACAGTCCCTGAATGTACATGCTGACTGGCATCCAGCCCTTGCCTAGAACACGCTCCCTTGGCTCCTTACCTTCCCTGTCTTCTCCTACTCATTCTTCAGGCATCATCTTCTCAAATTTCACCTCCTCTAAGAAGTCCTCCCTGACCTCCGAGGCTGCATCAGTGTGTCCCACCAGGCTCCCCAATCCCAGCCACACCCACTTTGGGTCATCCCCGTCTGACTGGACTCTGAGCCCCAGGAAGTGGGGCCAGGGCTGTCCTGATCATTACTGTGTCCCAACACCACCCAGCACAGGGCCAGAGCCAGAGAAGACAACCAGTAAGTATTTGTTAAATGAATGAATGAAGAACTGCTTAAAACCCTGCTATTGTTCTCTGTGGTAGCCAACCTCCGAGACGGCCCCCAGTGACCCCTGTTTCCTGGTATGCACACACAAAGAATAGGGCTGACCTGTGTAACTAATGGGATATTGCGGAAATGATGGTGTATGACTCCTGTGCTAGATCATAAAAGGCATCGCAACTTCTTCCTGGCTCTCTCTTGGATTACTTGGTCTGGAGGAAGTCCAGCTGTCATGTGGTTAGAACACTCAAACACCCCATGGCGAGGTCTACGTGGCGAGGAACTGAGGCCTTTGTCCAAGCCACGGGAGGGGACCAGCCACGTGAGTAAATCTCCCTTGGGAGCCTTGGGATGATGGCAGCTCCGCTGTCGTCTTGACCACAACCTCATGAAAGATCCAGAACCATCCTACTTAAGCCACTTCCAGATTCTTCAGAATCTGACCTTCAGAAACTTCGTGAAATAATACCTGCTCATTTTTGTTTTAAGTTTTGGGACAATCTGTACTGAGGCGATAGATAATTAATGTACTACCCGATTGGGTCAGGGATCCAAGCCTCACTTGATGATTGATCTGTGATAAGCCTCTCACACCTGCTGATCCAGGCCAAGGAGGTAAATTATTTTTCCCTGGAAACACTAGAGTCATTCCTCTGGCCAGGCCTTGGCTCCCACCATTCTGAAGCCTGGCATGCCCTCCCCTTCCTGACCCCAAATATCCAAGTTGAGTTGGGGCCAAGTCCTACATAAGGGACAGGGCTGTCTCAGCCACTCTCTCAACTGGTAGGCCAGCTGCTGGAATTAGGTGAATCACTTACATCCAAGGCCAAATCTTCCCCAACCCTAAAGAAAAAATAATTAAAATGCCAACAACCCGGGCGCCTGGGTGGCTCAGTTGGTTAAGCGACTGCCTTCGGCTCAGGTCATGATCCTGGAGACCCGGGATCGAGTCCCGCATCGGGCTCCTTGCTCAGCAGGGAGTCTGCTTCTCCCTCTGATCCTCTTCCCTCTCGTGCTTTCTATCTCTCATTCTCTCTCTCTCTCAAATAAATAAATAAAATCTTTAAAAAAAAATGCCAACAACCCATGTCTTCTCACATGAACTTCCATGAAAATGAAAACACGGATTGCCATCACCGCCATCATACCACCCTCAGGTCCCCTCATAAACTCTTGTTCTTATGTCGCTCTTCTAAATGTGGGTCATCCTCAGGGTTCTGTCTTAGGCCCTTCTCATTTCTCACGGTGCACATTCTCTCCCATGGGGATGTTATCCATTGACCTGGCTTCATTTCCACGCATCTGCTGGGAACTTCTCTCTGAGCTCGACACGTGTATACCCAACTGCCTCCTGGAGAGTCCCTCTGGCTGTCCCTCAAACACCTGAATCTCTACAGGCACGAAAGGAAGCTCTCCATCTTCTCTAAACGGGTCTTTCTCTCCTGAATTCCGTATCTCTGTGGTGGTCCCGTTCAGTCCCCCAGGGCAGAAACCTGGCAGGTTCCTTGATCCTCCACATCTAGGCACCAATCTGGAGCCGTCTCCTGCCCTGTCTTCTAGTTCTTTAATCCTTTTGCCCCACTGCTTCTGGGCTCTATTAAGCACATCTGTTGAGTTCTTAATTTCAGTCACTATTCTGTGTTTCCTGTTTGACTCTTTTAAAAAAATGGACTCCACATTTCTGTTAAAGTTTATCCTCCCTATTTTTTTGGACTATATATATATTTTTAAAGATTTTATTTATTTATTTGACAGAGAGAGACACAGAGAGAGAAGAAACATAAGCAGGGGGAGTGGGAGAGGGAGAAGCAGGCTTCCCGCTGAACAGAGAGTCGGATGCAGGGCTTGATCCCAGGATCCTGGGATCATGACCTGAGCCGAAGGCAGACACTTAATGACTGAGCCACCCAGGTGCCCCTGTTTTGGACCATATTGATCATGGCTATTTTAAATTTCCCTAATAACTCCACTATCTGAATCATTATGACTCTGTTTCTACTGTTGGATTTGTCTCTAGGTTTCTTGTTAATTGGTCCTCTCAATTTTCTTTAGGGTACCTTGTAAGTTTTGATTAGATGCCAGACATCACAATGAAAATTTGGAAGGGCTCTAAATAATGTTATTTTCTTTCCAAGAAGGTCAGTTTTCTTCCCGCTGAAGATCAGATGTAGGAATCTTTAGGGCTGGTCTCTTTCAGTTTTGCCCTTACACCTAGGGTATGGTCTCAGCAGAAAGCTTGGGGTGGTTACCAAGGCCTCTCTCTCCAACTTTGCAACTTTGGTTTCCCTAGCATCATATGCCTGCTGGAATCCTTTTTCAGTTCTGTAGCTTCCCAGATACTATTTTCTGCTGAGTTCCTTGGAGTCTCACCCTGTGCATGTACAGCTTGCCAATGACTTAAAGGAAATATGCAGATTTGGGGACTCCCTTTTCTGTGGTTTCATATGTTCCTGGGCTCTACCTCTCATTCTTCAGACGCTCTGGCAGCCAGAGAGACTCTAACCCCTGGCTTCTCAGTCTAGCAATGATCTCTCTTATTTGGGTTTTATTTCCCCTTCACAGCAGTGAATTGGAAAGTGCACTCAAGGATAAAGCCAGCTTTCTGCATAACTCAATTTCCGTGCTTCCCTTATTTCAAAGATTGTAGCACCTCAAGTTCCTCTCTTCATTAGCTGCTCTCCAGTGACCTCAAGTAATTGTTTATAATTTGTCCAGCTTTTCTGGCTTTCATTGGCAGATTAGTCTGATACATGTGACTCCATCATGACCAGAACTGCAAACCCACCCCCATGTCTAATCCATCACTAAGTACTGCTCATTTACCTGCTGAAGAGTTCTTAAAATCCACCCACTTCTCTCCATGTGCATGGTTGACATTCTAATGTAGTTACTCTCTTCTTCACCTGGACAACCTCACCCACCTCCAAGTTGGACTGCCCTCATCTTCTTTCCCTCCATCATTGCTCTCCTCTGAGGTCAGAATAATTTGTTCTAAAGTACAAATCTGATCATGACACTCTCTGCTTAAAACCCTTTTATGACCGGGGCACCTGGATGACTCAGTCGGTTGGGTGTCAGGCTCTTGGTTTCTGCTCGGGTCATGATCTCATGGTTGTGGGATCGAGCCTACTCCCCCGCCCAATCCGTTGGCTCCACATTCAGTGGGGAGTCTGCTTGAGATTCTCTTTCCCTCTGCCCCTCCCCCTGCTCACACACTCTCTGTCTCAAATAAATAAATTTAAAAAAAATCCTTAAAAAACCCACAAAAACCCTTGGGACACCTGGGTGGCTCAGTCGGTTAAGCGTCTGACTCATAATTTTGGCTCAGGTTACGATCTCATGGCTCATGATATCAAGCCCTGCATCAGGCTTCTTGCTCAGTGGGGAGTCTGCTTGAGATTCTCTCCCTCCGCCCCTCCCCCCACTTGTTGTGTGCTCTCTCTCTCAAATAAATAAATAAATCTAAAAAACAAACAAACCAACAAAAAAACCTCAACCCTTTTATGACCTCCCCCTGTTGCCCGTATGGTCAGTATCCCTCACCACAACCTAGAAGGCCCTGTGTAATATGACCCTGCCAATTTCCAGCTCCTCTTGCCCTGTTTTCTCCTTCCTCCAGTCATACTACTTTCATCCACCTTTGGGCCTTGGTGTCTGTTGCTCTTCCTAGAAAACCCTTTCCACTGTCTTTTTAACAGTCTGACTCCTGCTCATCCCTCAAGATCCAGCTTAGTTTTTGCTTCCTGGAGGAAAACTTCTTTGACCTGAGTCCAGTATCTCCCCTAGGGTCCCACAGCCCCTATTCTTCATTCATCCCAGCCCTGATCACTCTGGCCGCTGTTTCCCTTATCTCAGCCCTGAAAATTCTGGACTGTGCTTCCCAACTACAGCTCTGGCCCCTCTCAGACCAGAGGTCTCATGGTCCTGGACCCCTCTGCTTGTGCTTCCCCATCCTGGCTCTGACTAATCTGAGCAGTCACTGCTTGGTGATGGGTCTGTCACCCCCACTCCCACCCCACTGACTGTAAGCCCATGGTAAGGCCCAAAGTTTCTTGGTCACATCTGTATCCCCAGTATCATATAAATACAGGATTTGGTTTAACAAACTATTCCAGTCACCACAAGCAGCGTAAAATGGCCTGAGAAATGGGGGCTAATAATCGCTTTACCACTTATTAAGTTACTGAATTGACAGCTGCACTCCAAGCTTGCTGGTGGACCCTTGACCACTCCCAAGTCTCTCTTTAGAATCCCCTGTCTCCAAGATCCATCAGCTAAAGAGGGGGGTCCAGGGTTGATCAATGCCTTCTACATTGACTGATATTGTTAAATCTTCTGAATATTATCTATGATCCAAACAATTACTTAGACTCGATTATCAGTGCTTTCCTTAAGCACATCTAACAGAAAGCTGAAGCCAGCGTCCCCTCTCTTGTCACTTCCTTGAAAATAAACATCTGATTCAGTCTCCGTCAGCAGACAAAAGTTTGAGGTCAGCATGGCTGAACGAGAAACAGGGCAAACGTAGGTGCTCTGCTTACTGACGTCACTGGGACGGGCCTGGCCTTAACCAATTTCCTGTCTTGCCAGGCCCAGAAAGAGGAATCTGCACGCATGACCATGCAACATGGATCTGTTGCTTTCCACCCCCTCCTGCGGGAACTGGAGAACTTAAGCCTCTCTAAGTCTTTTTGTTAAACTGGCATTTGAGAGTTGGGGCTGGTGGGGACAGGATCAGGAGAATGATGGGTACGGGGTTGGGGATCGTGAGGGCTGCCCAGCTCACCAGGGGTGGGTCGGTTGCACAAGTCAGTCCCACACAGGGTCTCGGTAAGAGTGATGATCTGCATGCCTGTCCGATAGCTCATGGTCCTGTTGCTCTTCTCTGGGTGGGCACAGCCTCTCTCCACCACCTCCAGCTCTTCACCTCCTGTGAAGAATGTATCTTTGTCACCCCAAAGGCTGCCCTGGGCCCAACCAGTCTCTGATGCTCCTGGTCCTAAGGTCACCCACTTCCGGAGCTGATCCTTGCCAGGCCTCTTCTCTGGGGTCCAGCTGTCTCCTCTCCTCGCCCTCCCATCACAGGAAGCCTACTCCCTCTTAGTGACCACACTATCACTGAGGCTGTCTGGATCCATCTACCCCTCCCTCCCAGCTTAGTGATTTTAGCAGGGAGATGCCTCTAATAGGAATCTTTAAAGGAAAAATATTACAAGCCTGCCAAAAAGCATAAGAGAACGATACAATAAATAACTATGCATTCATCACCAAATTTTATAAAATATTGGAAAATTTTGCTATATTTGTTTCAGATATTTTTTAAAAGAACTTAAATTTGAAAGATAGAGTTAAAGCCTCCTGCTCACTCCCCCAAATCCCATTCCCCTTATGCCCTGTCCAGAAGCAACCACTGGTGTAGGTGATTTTCACCCTAGGTACACATAATAATGTATACTATTATTTATTTATACATTATTTATTGCATATTGTTATATACTATTTATATTAAAAGGTATCATACCCTGAAACATGTTTTTTTTCCCCTCTCAACCTGACGTTTTTGAGATGTATCCACTTTAATACCTACAGCTCAAGTTCCTTCATTTAAACTGCTGTGGAGCGGGGCGCCTGGGTGGCTCAGACGTTAAGTGTCTGCCTTCGGCTCAGGTCATGATCCCAGGGTCCTAGGATCGAGCCCCGCATCGGGCTCCCTGCTCCGCAGGAAGCCTGCTTCTCCCTCTCGCACTCCCCCTGCTTGTGTTCCCTCTCTCGCTGTCTCTGTCAAATAAATAAAATCTTAAAAAAAAAAAAAAAAACTGCTGTGGAGCATTCCATTGTGTGATTATACCATAATGTTTCTCCTCGACTGATGACTAACCCATATCACAAACATAACTGCTACGAACATTCTTACACGTAACTGCTAAGAACATTCTTACATGTGTGCCCAAGGTTCTGTGGGGTTGCTATATTCCTAGAAGTTGGATTGCTGGCAGGAGGGTATGCTAATCGTCATCTGTACTAGGTATTTGCCAAATTGCTCTGTGCGGTGCCTGCACGAATTTATCCTCATTAGCTGGGTCTGCAGCTTCACATCCTCATCCATCTCTGCATTGTCAAATTGTTTAAAAGCTTGTCGATCTGGTGGGTATGAGATAGGGTCTCCTTGTCTTTTTCGTTTGCATTTCCCTGATTACTGGTGAAATAAGGTTCCCCGTCGCTGTAGTGGGGAATCTCACCTTCCCATATGCGCATGATGGTGGTCCTGCAGAGGTCCTGGCCACGGGCACACTCTTCCACCTGGCACTTCCCGATCCTCCCACACAGCATGCACTGCAGGCTCCAGGAGGCTGCGGGGTGAGTGGGAAGAGAGGAGAGATTGAGCGGTGCTCCCCCTCTCTGCTCCTTCATGCCCCAATACCAGGGCCAAGTCTCCAGGCCTTGTGCACTCAGGTTCGTGCTCCACATTCTGTCCGCCCTTTGGTTCCAACACTGGGTTCGGGTCAGCAGTACTTCCGGTCTATCTGTAACCCCACGTTTTATCTACACCCCCTACCCTAATGTTCTATCCCTTCCAACAGTCTTTCCCTAAAGTCACGCCCTGGCTGATTTGCCCTTGAATTCTGTATCAGCGCGCGGCCTATCCTGAGTCCAATCCCCCACCCTCTCTGTCCATCAGAATATTCCAGCCCAGCTCCAGTTTAGGTCCTTTCCCCCATTCCACCGGCCCTCGGTCTATTCGGCTTCGCAACCTCTCCTAAGGCCGTTCTACCCTCACCCAACTGCAGCTGATCTTTATGTTCTACCCGGGTTCCCGGTGACCCCCACTGACTATCCCCGCCCTTAATGCCCCCAGACTCTACTCCTTTCCATAGCCTCTCCCCAACATTCTCTCCCCGCCCACCAGTCCAGGCCAAAGTTTTAACTTCGCCCATCAGCCCTCGGGAAGTTCTAACCCCAACTGCAGTAGCCTCCCCGAAGTTCTCTCCCAGCCCCTCAGCTCCTCCGCCGAGGCTCTCGCCCCGCCCCCAGCTCCTCCCCCGAGTTTCTCGCCCTTCCCACTAGCGCGTCCCGTGGTTACAAGTTGGCCCACTAGCCCCGCCCCAACTCCTTACCCTCCCACCCGGCCTCTCCTGCTGGGGTCCATTCCCCACCACAAATTCGCAGTCTTCTAGAGTCATTACTCATTCCTGGCCGCGAAAGATCCGGAGACCTTTCCGGGTTATCCATGGCTGAGCCGCCCCGCCCTGACCAGTTCCTTCTCAATTTCCTCTCGCTTTTCGACCCTCTCCCGTACATTTCCCGGGAAAGGAGTTGAGAGGGTAGCTAGGGGATAGTGAAAGGGAAGCGTCCTCCAGGGACAAGCCCTGGCTTCCCCCAGCCCCTGTCTCTGCGACGTTCGGCCTTTCTGTTTAGATCTTTTGTAACAGGAGGGTCGGTGCTCCCGGTCTTTCCAGGGCCTGGGTCGGTGCGGGGGCGGAGAGCTGTGGGCCAGAATCCCCCTTACTCCAGGGCCGCTCTGAGCCTGTTTCCTTCTCTGTGAAACAGGGCTAGAATAGTTCTGCCCGTCCAGTTTGAAACTGCAGGGAAGGAGCTTAGAGGAGCGCACTCACTCGGCGGCTGTTAACAGCCTTCGCTCGACGAGTATTTCGCGAGCACCGACTGCTGGCCAGGTCCTGTGCTGCGTGGGGCTGCAGCTGGCTGGAGGATTACCCCGTGACGGGGAGGGCTGGGGGCTGAGCCGCCCTCCTCCAACTCCTCCCGCTCGGAGCCCCCCGCCCCTCCCCCCTCTTCACTGCGTTCGGACCCCGGTGTCCCGCGCAGGTGTTTTGGGCGCCGGGTCCCTACCTGGAACGCAGGTCTGAAGCGACAGCAGCAGCAGCGGCAGCAGCCCCGGGCGGCCCATGTCTGGCCGCAGCTCCAGTCCGTGTGGCTCCCTGCCCCTCTCAGTCTAGCCCGGGCAACCAGACAGTTTTGTGCCCCCGGGGCTCCTCCCAGAGATTTTGCGAAAGAGCGAGTCAGCCCCAGATGCGTGGGTGCTTCCCCCTCCTCCCCCTCTGACCCCTCCTCCTCAAAAACTTCCTTTGCCAGGGCGCGGCCAGCCAGGAGTAGGGGGGGTAGGCTCGGCTCTGACTCATGTGGCAGTGGTCACACAGCTGTCTCCAGCAAGAGGCAGGGCCAGCTGAGGGACACCCTGCAGCACCGAGCGAAGTCCCTGCAGCAGCGCCAAGCCCTGATTGCAGTTTATCGGACACATCTTCTTGGTGCTGCACAGGGTCACACGGACGAAGATGTGCCGCCTTACTCCAGATCATACAGATGCGGCAGGGGCTCGTGGGCTAACAGCAGTCCCGACCAGCCGGTGTGGGCTTTAGCTGCTGGTGCTGAGCATTCCCCATGGTCTTCCTGGTCCTTCTTGTGCTAGTATAATTGAAATAAAATATATATATATATATTTTTAAAGATTTTATTTATTTGACAGAGAGAGACAGAGCGAGAGAAGGAATACAAGCAGGGGGAGCGGGAGAGGGAGAAGCAGGCTTCTCGGGGAGCAGGGAGACGGATGCGGGGCTCAATCCCAGGACCCTGGGATCATGACCTGAGCTGAAGGCAGACGCTTAAGGACTGAGCCACCAGGCGCCCCTGAAATAAAATATATTTTGTTTCACCAAAAAAAAAAAAAAACCAACCCAAAACTTCCAATTCTCCTTCCTCCTGCTCTGGGACCTTGGGCAAAGGACCTCAGCACTCCGATTAAAACTTGTCCTGAGGGAATCAGAGAGGGAGACTAGCCATAAGAGACGCTGAACTCTAGGAAACAAACTGAGGGTTGCTGGAGGGGAGGGGGTGGGGGGATGGGTTAACCAGGTGACCGGGCTTTAAGGAGGGTCCCCCATGTGATGAGCACTGGGTGTTATATGGAACTGATGAATCACCGAACTCTTCCCCTGAAACTAATAATACACCATATGTTAATTAATTGCATTTAAATAAAATTTTAAAAAAAGAAACTTGTCCTGATGGGACCTTTGTGGCTGATTAGTTATCGTTAGGATTTTTGTTAGTTTTGTTAGGAGGGATAATGATGTTGTGGTTATGTGGGGAAATGTCTGTATCATTAGAGATGCACACTGGAATAGTTGAGGGGTGAAAGAATATAATGTCTCTAATTTACCTTCAAACACTTCAGCCAAGAAGTAGATATTGCTGTTATGAAAATGGTTTTGTGGTTATGTGGGAAATTGTTCTTAGTTTTTACAGACACTCACTGAAATACCTAGAGGTGAATGTCATGGGTGTCTGCATTTACTTGAAAAAGCTTTAGGAAAAAAGAAAGGCAAAATACTTGTATCAGTCTTTTATCAGGGTAACTTACATGCCATTCTGTTTCCTTTTTCTGCGTGTTTGTAAAGGTCCTCACTAAGTTTTTTAAAAAGTAAAATAAAATGTAAAAGATAAAGTCATCTAGTCTCTCCACCTCCATGTGTTTCTGACCCATCAGAGCAATTTAATGCAGGTGAAAATGCCTGAAACGGTTGCTGGCCCACAAGGAGGGCTCAACAAATTCCTTCAGCATTTACCAAGAACCTACTCTGTACCAGGCACTGATCCAGGAGGAGCTGGGGACACAGCAGGAAACAAAGCATAGTCCCTGCCCTTGACAATGAAGAGTAAATATGTGTTATTTAATCTATGACTGTCAGGCAGCGATAAGTAAAACACAGAACAAACCAGGAGGCAGGAAGTACAAGGGTACGAGTGAGGCATGGTTGGTTTTAGGTGGGGTGGTGCTGCCCCACCTTCCCTGAGCAGGTGGCATTTGAGCAGAGGCTGAATGTGGTGAGGGCAGAAGTTGGGTAGATGATCCAGGAAGAGTTCCAGGGAGAGGCAGCAGCCAGTGCAAAGGTCCTCAGGCGGGGGTGTCCTGATGAGCTCTAGAAACAGCAAGCGGCCAGTGTGGGGGGCTGAACAGAATAGGGGAGGCCAAGGATAGCAGACAATGTGTTAAGTAGTAGCGACCTCTACCACCATAAAAATGAGGGTAGCATTATTAATCTTACTAATTCATTGAAGCCTTAAGGTAATAATTTTAAGGTAAAGCAAGAGAAGTCCCAAAGAAATCCTCTCTTCTAAGAGGCAGTAGTAGAGCCTAGTGTTTAAGATATAGGAGCTGGCACCAGACTGGGAGGGTCCAAATTCCAGCTACTCACTGCTGTGTGGGCTTGGGCAGGTTACTTAACCTCTCTGTGCCTCCAGCTTCACTAGTGCCTCTCTCCCAGGGCTGGTGTGCTAGGGGCATAAAACAATGCACCCAGGGTGCTTACCACCGTGCCTGGTGTGCGGAAAAAGACAGTAACCACCATTGATTATTGCTGGGCCCGCTTTCCAGAGCTTTCTCTCCATGGGGGTGGGGAGAGGGTTGGAGGTCAGGGGAGGTCATGGCTGCAGTACTGGACGACTCCTTGGCTACCCTGGGCCAACAGATGTCTTCCCGTGAGAGCCTAGGCTTCCCTCACGTGGCAAGTAGGGCCCCTCTTGCTGTTGGTGTGAAGACCAACTGAGGTGGGGAAACAGAAAGTCGGGCTTGCGATCCAGCTTCCTGGGAGGATGACCTCACTGCTCTGCGGTCATCCCCTTTTATTTGGTTTTTTATTTAAAGAATGAGGGGAATATCTTGGAGCCCGCCCATCCCCACCTCAGACCGCTTTAGTCTCTCAAAATCTGTTGTCCCCCTCCTGTGTCTCTCCGTCCGTCTTTTTCTGTTTTGGTCTTTTTCTTTGTCTCTGTCTCTGTCTCTCTCAATCCCTGTGTCTCTCTCTTTCTGACTCTGTCACTCTATCTCTCCCTGTGTCTCTGTATCTTTTTTCCTGTCTCTTCCTGTCTCTCTCTCTGCTTCTCTTTTCTGTCTCTCTGTCTCTGTTTTTAATGTCTCTCTAGGCCTGTCTCTGTCTCTGTCTCTCTGTGACTCGTTCCCTCTGTCTCTCCCTCGGGTGACACACACCTGTGAGGTCCAGTGACGTGTCACGGGAGGGGGCAGGCAGGAGGCTGGGTGTGTGCACAATCCCAGAAAAGTGGCAGGAATGTCCGCTCTTTCCTCCTCATGACTCACCTGGGCCTCGCCTAGTTCCTACCTGCCTGCTGGGTCCTGAGGGAGGCCCACAGGTTTCGGGGGCTTCCCTGGGCTGAGGAGGGGAGAGTCCTGTGCAGAGTCAGAGAAGGAGAGAGACCCAGAGAGACAGAGGGGGAGAGGCAGCGAGAGAGATAGAGGGACAGAGACCACTGATGGACTGACTCCAGGGTAGTCAGAGAGGGAGAGAGATCTCTCCACCTGAGAGAAGCACAGAGACGGTGAGAAATGGAGGGACAGAGACAGAGGCAGAGGCAGAGGCAGTTGGAGAATGACCCCCGATGGCCCTCAGAGAGAGCAAGTAGAGATGCAGAGAAATTGCTCGTGTGAGCGCATGTCCGTCTGGGACCGTCCTCAGCCTCCTGCCACCTGCCTAAGCTGGGGACCGCCTCTGGCCTGGCTGTTGTTGGGGGTGTGGCTGCGGCCATTTCCTCCCCAGCTCCAGGGGACACTGATGTGGCTTTCC